TCTGAGATCAGAGCTGCCACTTTACCAGCCACAGCTGGTTCTTGCTCTCCAAGAGCTTCGATTTTCTCACCTGTAAAATGGGGATAATGCCTACCTTCATTGATGTGACGGGAAAACGAGCATCATCCCTGTGCACTCAGTGAGTCTTGGCCCTCCCCTCCCTAGGAAGGCTGATGACTTCATGGGTTTTTCTAGTTCACCCACATAGTGCTTTCATCTGGGCCAGTTCTATTTAAACGCCCATTTGTGTGAGCGATTCTGCTGGGTACCTAGGTCCCTGGAGTGCATAATCAACCTATTTTTGTCTGGTCTGAAATTCCAAGGGTAGGTTACTCAACTCATGTAAGCCTTTGTCTTCTCGTAGAGTTTGAGCATTAGATGGGATAAAATATGAAAAACATTTGGCCAGTATCTGGCAACATCTGTATTTGCAGGTTTCCTGTCTCTGCACAGACACCTGTGTTCTCTTCTTTATCTGGGAAGCCGATGCCCTTCTCTGCTTGGCCTCTTATGTTCCTCTCATCCTTTGAGAGCTGCCCTGACCCGTCTACACCCAAGTCCAGAGTCAGGCTGCCCTGGCAGTGCACTGACCTCAAGCATTCGCCATGTTCAGCCTCAAGTTCGGTTCCTTGTGTACTTGCTTTTCTCTCCTACCCAACTCTCAGGTCCTTGAGGGCAGAACCCAAGGCTCTTCCTTGTCTGGAATCCTCGGCTGCATTTTACAGCCTCTGACATGAAGTATCTCATGTCATGATGGAATCTCATTTTATTTTTGTACTGCTTAGATTGACTAGGCAGAAGGGCTGCAAGGTCAAGTGTTGACCTTGGATCCAGTTAAACTGTTTTTTACGGTGTCACACATTATTATGCAGCAATTAGGAATTTGCGATCGTGTCGGGAGGGTCAGTAACAACCAGCCAAATAAAGGTTTAAGTCAAAAGGTTGAGCGCTGGACATTAAATGTTGACAGCTGAAGCATGTCTCTCTTCCAGAGGACACAGGCCATCTGTAAGTATGACCGATGACTTCTGAGAGGCCAGTGCGTAGGAAAGGACAGGGATGATGCATACTGGCCACATGGTGAGGAAGGCACTTCCAACGCCAGCTGGCGGTGCCCACCCACGCTGCGGAGGGCCCACTCGGGAGCTAGCACAGGCATCACGGACAGAGTAGGCTCTGAAAGATTCGTGAAGGATGGAGGAAGCCCTGCCTTCCCGCCCTGTGTGGCCCTGGATCACCCGGTGGCTTCTTCATGTCTCAGTTTCCTCCGCTGTGAAATAAGTATGAACCTGGTGTTCTTTGTATGAGAAGAAAAAAATTACTGTGATCATGAAACCTTCACAGGTATTGTCAACAAAAATTACTGAGAATAAACGTGGCCACTGAAAAAGAAATCTCGATTATCAAGACACAACGAAGTAATCTCTAGTTCCTTTGGATATGCCTAAATAGCGTTCATTAAGTCTCTATTTTAGGACCATTGTATGCAGGACTCAGTTTCCTTATGGAAAGTCAGGGAGCCATTCAACTCTCCACCTACAGTTGCTGAAAGGAACGAGTAATGCACGTGATTGCAAAGCACTTGCCTAAGATCCAAGGAATTATACGATAATAACAGTAATCGTCTGTCACCGAAAGTGTTTCCATCTTAGTAAGTTGCAAGTAATACATTTTCTCTTTGCTTAAGTCTGTCTTTACTCTCTAAATAATGCATTACCCATTGCATTTACAATCTCCTAGTCTACTTCATGTTTTAAATTGGAATCCAGCCTGCCCACGTGAGCTAAGGCCTTTCACCTCAAGAATAATACCAGGAGATCCTGAAGAACAGGACTTTCAGATTTATGGTTGGAGCTGTGAGCTGGAACGTCAGCAGCGCAGCAATTCAGAAAAAGAATCCTCACACCTCATTTCTTCATTCAAATGAATTCAGCGAATATTTCTTGAGCATATAGTCAGAGCCAGGCAATGTGTTAGGAATGTGATATTCCTTAGAAGGCCACACAGACACGGAAACTAATCATTGTAATGGAGGTAGTAAAAGTTTGATCGAGGGGCTGCAGAAAGTGTCTTGGTAGTGTCCAGGATGCAATTACCAGCTCTGCCTCGGGAGGAGGGCCACAGAGCTAACTTGGTCGGCTTAGTTGCAGATAACTGAGTCCCTTCCAGCTAGTTTAAACTAGTGGGGGTTCAGTGTTTACAAACTGAACTGTTTGTTGGAAGGGCTGGAGGAGCAGGGTGTAGGCAGAGCTTCCAGGATAAATCTCAGAACATTACGGAACCAGCCCCCTGAGGGATCTCTACGGCTACCCTTCCAGGATCAGAAAGGGCCCCATCTGTCAGCAATGGAACCACGTGGCCTTCGCTGCGACCCATGCTAACATGTGACCCTCACACAGACTCTTGGCCTCCAGGAAGCTAGAGACTGGACACTCCTGCAGTAGGATCACATGCCTCTGTTGCTGTGTTTGCCGGCAGGAGCATGTCTGGGCTGCAGCTCTGCCCTCCAGAGCGTTTGGCCTCATTGGCAGAAGCTGGGCTTGTGTGGAACCCAGGCTGTGAGGAAATCCAGAAATGTGGTCTCCAGCTTTAGAGCGTCTGGCCTGCAGCAAGTCCTGCTCCAAGAGGCGGGAGGATGTGAGGGAGCCAATCTCCGTTTCTGCCTGCAGGTGTTCCCGAGAAAGAACCGCGTGACCTGGGGCCTGAAGGATGAGCAAGGGTCCACAGGACACAGGGCGATTGGAGCAGGGGCAGCTAACCTGATTGCGTGTGAAATGCACGCCTGGTTCAAATAAATAAAAGTACTTTGAAATAATAGTAGCACAAGATGTAAAACTAGGAGCAATAAGACATGAGGAGGGAGAGCACAGTGGACTGAATGAGAGGGCCTTGGAGTTTAGACTTTAAGCTGTAAGTAGCAGGGGGCCACAGAAAGCTTTTAAGGAGTGAATGCATATGTGTGTGTGTGAATGGGGGCAAGGATTAATCTTCTTTGACTGCTGGGCAACTGTACATGTTGTACACAGTGATGTGCTGGTAAACATATGACTATATGTTATAAACACAGTGATGTGCTGGTAAACATGTAACTGTACATGTTATACACACAGTGCTGTGTGGGTAAACATATGACTGTACATGTTATACACGGTGCTGTGCTGGTAACATACGACTGTACATGTTACACACGGTGCTGTGCTGGTAACGTACAACTGTACATGTTACACACGGTGCTGTGCTGGTAACATACAACTATACATGTTACACACAGTGCTGTGCGGGTAAACATATGACTGTACATGTTACACACGGTGCTGTGCTGGTAAATGTTTAACAACTGGCTCTCCAGAGGGAAAAAAAACGGCCTGACTTGTGGTATAGTGATTTCTGTGTTGTAAATGCTTCCCACATGGCCTATTTCAAGCTACCAACGTGATAGCAATGAACATGGAGTAGGGAAGATGTGTGGGTGGCCGGCTCTTGGGAGCTGGTTCACACCGGCTCCAGAGCGCCTGTGTCTGCCTTGTGCGTTCATTCTAAGAACAAGCCCATAAGCTGCACAGTAGTTCCATTCCACAAGTGGTGAAACTGAGGCCTAGAGCGATCGGTATTTTACCGAAGGTCACACAACTAATTCGTGCTGCGCTTTGCTTTAGATCCACGTCTGCCTGTGTTCAAGTCCGAAGTTCTTTCAACAAGACTATGCACTTCCAGAGGCGTCATAGGGCTGGATCTCCGCTTCAGAAACTCCTTGGCAGTACAGAGCGGAGGCAGATACGCAGAACAAGGGAGTTCTAGATAATGCGTAAGTGAATGAGTGCATATTGTTCCAACAAAGTTTTATCTACGGAAGCAGGTGGTAGGTCTGTGCGGTATAGAGGTGGGTCGGAAGAAGCACACCAGCGTTCGGAGGTCACATAGAAGGTTCCTGAAGAGGCTGGGTGAGACGTGACGAGGCTGAGCCAAGACATGGCAGGGGTCAGGAAGTGTGGACATATTGGACAGGACTGCCGGCCTTCCGTCTCAGCAGATGGGCATGGCTGGGGCGAAGGGGCTGAGTCATAAATCATGAGAATCATGAGAAGCAGATTTCTTTGGAGAAACCTTATGTTTTTAGTTTGGCCTGTTGAGTTCAAAGGACCTACAGACAGTCCAAGTGGGGAGGTCCAGTAGGAAAGTGGAAATGTGTGCAGTCAGGAGACAGATCCGAGGGGGAGGCCATGAGCAAGTCAGCCTAGAGACGCAGCTGCGACCCTGGCCGTGGATGAACGTGTGAGACAGAGTCGGGGAGGCCTGAGAATAAGCCAAGAAAGGAGCTTAGGAAGCATAGGGGTGGTCTCAAGGAGAAGCCACTCAGGACCATGTTTCCATACACAAGGTAAGAGTGTTTCCAGCACGAGAGAGGGGTCAACACTGTTGGACGCTGTTGTGGATGCTGTGATGTGCACTCTAGAATGAAGACTTCAAAAATGAAGGACTATTTTCCTGGCTGCTGTGAAGACCTCCCAAAGATGGCCCTCAGCTGTCACCCCCCTTTGGGAATTGTCTCTCCTGAAGAAAATTGCCTGGGTCTCACCTCTTTCTACGGGTGGCCCACATCCACTGACCAACACAGCAGAGAAAAGCCCAGCTCCCTTGTCCCAACTTGGGACAATTCAGAAGGGCCACTGTAGCTCCAGATTCCCCTGTGGAGTTGGCTGAGGCCTAAGTTGGGAGGGAGCACATCGCAGCTCAGCTCCTCCCGCTGCTCGAGCCTGCTTCCTGCCCTGCCGTCCGCAGGTGCTGGAGCCGAGTGCACACCCAAACTAACATCCTGCTTGCCCATCTCTGTCTCAGCATCTGCTTCTTGGGGATCCCCACATGTGACAGCTGCTCTTTCCTCATGTGCTCTGCCCTATGACGTTGCTGTTCAAGGGTGAGCAGGACCAGACCAACCTACCCACTCAACAAATCCGAAAACAAGCCAGGGGTGGGTGCAAACCAAGACTCTGACATCAAACTGACTGAATAAAGCTTTATTTTAATGCAAAATGAAACAAGAAAAATTTATATATTCATATATAACAACATCCAAAGTGTTTTCTGTGGTACAAATGGGATCATCTAAAAAGCCTGTAAAGAATCCATTCTCCACCCCCATATGCCAAAATAGGATTTCACATAATTTATCTCCAGAACTTATAAACAGACTTGGTATCATAAAAGCACAGGAAAACACTAGAAAAAGTGACTATATAAACAGCAGGTTTTGTTTTATGTTCCAGTAGTAAACACACTGCAGTCGGCATGGATGGAACAGAACACTCGCAAAGGGCTGAGTCAGGAGACAGTCTGTGGGGCTGGCTCGTGCTCCGCTCCGTGCTCCCTGGCTAAGCTTATCTTTCGAAATCAGGCTGTGTGTGATTCTATGGCTATTTTAAGGGCCTGAGGGAGAAAGATTCTCACTTAGAAGTCCTAGCCACATATGAGAGCCTAGGCTTATTTTAGATACCTTTTATTCTCCTTTTTCTCAGAACGGCGACTTTGTAGGGATATCTTATGGAGACTCCTCTTTCTGGTCTCATTGCATCGTTTCCACCCAAGTCGGTGCAAACTGGGAGTGCAGAGACGTAATACTGCGGGCTGCTTCTGCATCCAGCTCCCTCCTACCCAACTCTGCTAACTCTGGACAAGCTGTTGCTCATGGACTCAGAGAGCGGTAGGGCGTCTACCCAATTTAGCACCAATTTGAAGGCTGTTCATTATGGATTTCAGAGTTTAACGCCAATGGGAACTTTACAGACACACACTCCTATCCATACCAGACTCGCCAGCTCTCTCCATCCCCTGAAACATGAAGATGTTCCTCCGGGGACAATGAATCTGCGGTTACAGGTGAGGGGAAAAACCCTTTAAAAGTTTGATCTCCAGGCATGACAACTCCAAAAACCATCAGGTGGATTTCCTTCAGGAAATAGGGTTAGTTCAAGAAGTTCACGAATCTTTGGGAGGAATAATGCATCACGTTTTAATTTTATTTAATTGGTGGCAAAAATAAAGCTACAATGAAGTCTCAAATCTCCTCTCTCAGGCAGTGCGCACAGAGTTTCCCCCAGGGTGACAGTGGGTCTACGGATCGCACCAAGCTCTTGATTGTAAGGTCTTTGCTGTGTGCCGTCCTGTGCGGGTCAATGCATATAGACCTAAAGACTTAAGAATTATGAGCTTCACAGTAATTTTTTTCCAATTTTTGTTAGTCAATCGTGATTTAAGAAAATGCTCGTCTGTGAGCTTGCCTTCATCCACTGATCGGATATTGTGGGGAAGCAATGTCAAACCAGGAGAGAGATGGGCGCCGCCCGACAGCACATGGGTGAACGGCAGGAACTTCTCTCCCTGCGAGGGCTCAATTCTCCTGCATGTAAAAGTTTTCAGTGATCTGCTCCCTTTCATCTCTCTACTCCTGCAGAAAGGGACAAAATCAGAGCTCCTTGAAGTATGTAGTGACTTGAGGCCACCATTTCCAGGCCTAAATGACCCAGCGGTCAGATCTGTCGAGGGGGCGTGTGCGTGGATGGGTTTGCCACTCACCGTGCCACGCTGTTCCTGAGGGCTCTCAGCGTTCTGAGCTACGAGGAGACACCTGATTGAGCTTTTCCAAGGCCATAAATAAAGCGGGACTATTTCCTGCTGCTGGGCACCTCCTAAACAGCCTTGTCTTCTAAATACTGGGAGGGAGCTCTGTGAGCTCTGGGTGGTAACACCTGGAGGGTTGGGGCATAGGCATTTATAAAGCTCACACTTGAGCAGGTCTGAGTTGTTGCTTGGCTTGATGGAGCCTCTGTCGCACAGCTGAGTTCATCCTCCTGCGGGCAGGGTCAAATGGGATATGTGTTCTACTCCAAGCAAGAGAAGAAAGCTGCTATAGTCTACTTTTGTCCACGCCAATAGTACCCTCACCTCATTGGCTGCCCTCAGGATCCGCAGCTGTTTTATGACTGTGTCTCCCTCCGCTTCCAGCGACTTGCCCCGAGCTTGCAGCCAGGAGGCATTGTCCTCCCAGGGCGGCCGCGGGGTGGACACAAGGGCCACTATAAGGGCCACTCCTCTGACACGACAGAATACCTCACTGTGCCCCACCGCTCCCACTGCCCCTCCGGTGGCCTTGGCCTTCATTCAGAAGGAGCTTCTGGCTCAGTTACGTTCACTGGTCTGCAGGACTTTGGTTAAACTATGGAACACACTGAAGAGCTGATTGTTAATGCTTCAAAACAAGTACACTTCCCTTGATGTGTCATTTTCTGCTTGAAGGTTTACTTAGCGTGAGGGGAGGCAGCATCGAGCACATGGGCGGGGAGATCCCGCAGCTCCCTCACTCCACCTCCAGGCGAGCAAGGCCGAGATCCCAACCTCTTTGCACAAACTGCAAACAATCGAAAGGTCCTGGCTTAAGAGAGATGACAGAGGGCAAAAAGCAACCTGCCAGTCTGTTTTCCAGAGGGCCATAAGTAAACAGTCATTCAGAAAACGGGGCCTCTCAAAGTCCAGTAAATAACACCATTTACATCTAAAATCAGCAGTTGCATCATTCCTGGTAACAACTCTATTTTAAATTAAAAAAAATAAGACTAGACTGGGCTAGATGGGTACTCTATATATTCAATGATACGATAATTTATTAGATCCTATCAGTCAGAGATATTCTAATCTTGGCCAAGATATGTCTAAATTGAACTTGACTGCTTTTTTTTGGAGGGAGTGAAGAGGGAATGTGAAAAGGCTGAAAGTATTTCGGGCGCCACTCAATAATTTCAAGAGCCGCTCCCAGCTCCTGCTCTTTCTCAGTCCCTTGTCTGCGTTCTCTTTTGAGTCAGGGTATAAGTTTTAGACGTTCTGTCGTAATAAGTAGAAATTAGCCGCAAAGCTCAAAAGAAATGGGGATGGGTTTTGGGTGGGGTTTCAGCTTTTCAAAGCCCCAAGACCTTCTTTGCCCAGTTGGAGCCCCTGGCCGTGGTCCTGTCCTGACATTTCTAAGTGAAGCAGAGCAGGTACAGCATGACCCCCTTCCACGCTGCTTCTCCCTTCCCTTCTTTCTGTTTTCTTTTTTCCTTTTTATTCCTTTCCTCATCCAACTTTCCAGAAAGCATTTTTATCTTCCACTCTCCATACTGGTAATCACATGCCTTCACACACACATACACACACACACACACACACACAGAGTCGGTCCCTGCCATCTACTACCTGCCGGTGGTCAGCCTCCACAGGCCACGCCAGCCCCTCCCTGGCCCTGGTGCAGGTGGTACTGTTTGGCACTGATTTGGAGCCGGTACCTCCAGGACACTGCTTCCTGGGCGACCTAACCAGCGGGGCCTCTTTTTCTCAAGTACAGTTCAGCTCTCAAGTGGGAGCCGTAACACAGAGGCCCAGTTACAGTAACCACAGGCAGGAGCCTTGGGGATGACTCAAACCAGGTGTCTCCCGAGGTCCTGCCTGGGACACGGGAGGATAAAGGTGGGGACCACAGGAGCGTCAGGCTCGGAATCTGATGGCCCGGGCCCTCAGAACTTACTCTTTCTGGAGGCTCTGACTAGCTTTGCACATTCTCCCAGGACACTAATACTGCATTTGCATCTTACTTTTATATAAAAAGTGAGGAAATGTGAAATGCTTATACCAAATGAGTGGTGCCGGGAACCTGAGAAATTCCACAGATGAAGAGACACAGTCTTCCTCCAGGTATAAAGCATTTCAAAGAGATCACCAGTCGTGTTTGCTTTTTCAAAGAAAAACCTACTCACTTAAGATGCCCATCGACTTGACAACTCTAATACTGTGGCTGAAGCTCAGCCTCCAAATGGATGATGATCCTGGACGAGATGGCCTCTGTGCTGCCCATCCTGTGGGGCACGTGTGCCCCCGCAGGTAATCTAGCAGGGGAGGCACCATGTGGTACATCTCTGCTGTTATTTGCCTGTGCAATTACCATTCTCACTGAACTGAACAATTCTAACAGTATTTCAAATATCAGGCAGTATTATTTTTATGGCCCCATCTTTTCTCTTCCTCCTGATTTTCCCCCCAAACTCCTGTCCCTCCCTTTCCCCTGTGATTAGCAGTCAAGTGTTGCAACCTCAATGAGAAAAACCTCATCGGTACCATGGAGAATTCTTAACAGGATGAAGCCCTTAAGGTCTAGGAAGGGCAAAGATGATGGTAGACATCTTCCTTTCCGGGCTGCGCTGAGCTGGGTTCAGCTATACGGCTGCAGTCATGGGGTCCTTCTGCCGGGGATCCTGGGTGCGGTATGGGTACTGGTCTGGGCTGCCCCCATGGGGCCCTGGTCTGCCCATTTCTGGATAGGCTGGCACCCTGTGGTGCTGAGGAGGGGAAGGCGGCACGTCTTGTCGGAAGGGTCCTTTGTGCTGGGGGGCTGGCGGCGGCGGGTAATACTGAGGATACCGGAGATCTGTGACCCTCAGATCTGGAGGCCGGGGATAGCTCCCTTTGGGAGGATGCACAGGGTGAGCCCCTGGGTAATACGGAAGCTCCCTTTCCTTGTAGAGCCCTCGAGGTGCTGCTGTCAGATAGTCAACAGGATCGGCTGGTCCTCCCCTGGAAAGAGAAGAACAGACACATAGCAAGAGCTACGAAGGTGGGTGCCCAGCTGGAGGCCACATTCCCCAGCCTCCCACACAGTTTGGTGTGGCTATAGACTTGGTCTGGCCAAGGGGATGCGAGCAGAATTGATGTGTTCCCTTACGAAGAAGAGAAGGAAACTTCTTCTCTTCTCTCCCTCCTGTTGGGCAATAGAGTGGCTATTTAAAACCACAAAGTGAAAGTCACATGCTGAGGAAGGCAGAGCAACATGAGGGCTGGAGCCTGGGTGCTCCGTGCTACGGAGCCACCGTGTCAGCCAGGACTGCTTACACTCAGATTGTGCGTGAAAGAGAAATAGACCTCTATCTTGTTTGTTTCCTCTTATGTTGGCCTTTAGTATAGTAACCAAACTAGCTTCCTAGACAAGGCAGAGTTTGGCATTCTTAAGGCTGAGATCATTCAACCCCTCCCCTCCTCTGCCAACCTGACACCTGTCCTACACAGGACAGTAGAAATGCATGGGTCATTCAGAGCCATGAAGTCCCACGGAGAGCCCTCCCTTCTCACCCAGGTCTGTGGGTGCTCTTTACATGGACCACTGTCTTGGCGTAACTCTTGGTTGGCTTCTGCTCCATCCCTGTGTGGGTTAGTGTGCCCTCCCCCCTCGACAGTTCCTAGAAAATGTCCCAACCCAGAGCTGGGAATACTCACCTGGAACTTTGATATAAAGTGATTCTCCTGCAAAGTCTATAAGCACCACCACGTTGGTGGCAGAGTGCGGAAAGCCAAACCAGCTGGAAGTTGTACCATGTAAGGAGCAGCCACATGGAAAGGTCCAGGGCGAGGACAAACACTAAGAGAAGCCCACCCTGCCAGGATGTCTCCGCTCAGACAGAAGGCATCTGCAGACGCCTCTGCCATCACAGGAGCGCCAAGTCTCCAAACGCTGTGCAGACGACTGCCTCTCATATCGCCTGGTCAGACACAGGAGTTCTGTTTGTGGCTCTTAAAATCCCATAAAGCTTCCATGCACACCTTCACCACTGCCACCCCCAGATCCTTGCCAGTTCACTGTGCCCGTGGGGACACCCTGCAGAGTCGCGGCGTCTCTCAGGGAGCATCCTTCCTCCTTTTATTACTTTTTTAAAGGAAAACAGCAAGAATAATAATTAAGGAGAAGCTCTCCAATGTCTGAGTACAAACTGGTAGGACACATGAAAGAAACGGCAGGGCTGTAAGAGCATGGAGCCTGAGGTCAATCAAGCCAGGTCAACGCGGGTCCAAATCACCATGTAGTCTGCAGCTCAATGTGAAGACGGCTCCGAGAGTTCCCCAAATCAACGAAGGTGTGAGGAGCTCCAAGCTGGGGTGCGTGTGAAGGCAGCAGGGGAACACGCTCACAAGGACGGACAACAGGAGTCTCTCTCTACTTCCTTACGTCTTAATTTGGCCACGTGTAATAATGAAAGATAGATCCTTGAGCTTGGGGTAATTTAGTCAGAGTTTTCAGATAAAAAAATTAAATTGTTTGTGTACAAGTTATTACAGCATCAACCGCTATTGTTCAGAGCAGTTAGCTTTGCTCTGTTTGGAATTGCCCATGACAAATAGCACACAAATGCATCGTCTGTCACCCCAGCCTGGGAAATAAAGGATTGCGATTTCATCTTCCCTTTCCTGCAGAATTTTATTTTTGATTTAGAAAACTTCCAGCATTCATTATATCTTTTATTGTAAAATATTGTAAGCGTCCTCCCCTCGTGCTCATTTCTGTTTCCTTTTGGCTCACGTTAGAGATTTCCGAAACACTTAAAAAAAATCCTTAACCTGTGCTTTCTCTCAGAACCTACTGAAGATACTTCTCTGCATGAAGTGAAACATGTGGTTTTTCTGCACTCGTTTTAAGCCCGTGGGATAAATCACTGCCATTTGCAACACACAAACATTATCTGCCTCAAATGAACACACAACCAACGCTCCCTGCGGACCCGCTTAGTGGGAATGTTTCCTGTTTAAAACGGAGAGAGAGAAAGGAGGAACTCCAGGCCCTGGGCTTCTAGGGTTCTGTTCTCTCTCCAGAGATTTCTCCCATTTAAAATGGAACATTATAAAAGACAGGCATGCCTTGGTTTTTCACTTTTGCAGAGACAACCCAGATCAAGTGGTGACGGCTTAGAGCCGCCCTGAGACGCCGTGACAGAGTGGGGCACGCACGCAGGACAGTCGCTCTCTCTCCTCCCACCCTCACCTTGTGGCTCCCCACCTGTCACAGCAGTGAGGGGCAGCAAGGCTTCCCCTGGGTGGAGGGGCCAGAGCTCAAGGCGGTTCTGTGGCCCCATCTTGTTTCCCCTAAAAAAAGAGTTAACGTCTGAGAGTTCGCTTACATGCGGCAGAAGCCAAGCAAGGTGGCTGTTCTTTGTCAAGAAATGAAATCATGGAAATCTTCCTTTTTCTGAGGACCCATCAAAATGGTTATCATTTTTAATTTCTCAGAGAGAAGAAAAACAATGAGCCGGCCTATAAAAACACTGTTTAAGGTTCAAAGAGTGCTAGAAGAATTTTTCTCTCTTTGACGGGGAGTGTTGCTGTTGTTTATAATAACTTCTCACTCAAAATTGAGCATTTTCTACAGACTTTTGCCAGAACAGTGTCTAAGTGCTTGTGAATATTATGTGTGTGTAAGCACACACACACACACACACACACACACACACATTTAAAAGGATAATTTTAAACAAATCAAAAGCTCTCCTCATTAACTACAGACCTTGATAGGATAAACGAAGAAGAGAGGGCTGAAATTTGAGCTCGGTTAATCTTGAGTTTCCCTTTCTGTAGTTTCTTTATTCAGGTGAAATTTAGTATTTGTAGGAAAGCACCAAAACCAACTCATTCTGGGGACTAAGAAATGCTGCTGACAGTGACCAGGGCTGCGTGTTTTGAGCCATCCCTGAGCCATCCAGGGGCAGCCTCCTCTGGAGATTCTGATGAAAATAAGGATCCAAATGGCCAGTGTACCAGTACTTCAAGACCCCTCCCACTTTTCTTGTGACCTCGTAAATTTTATTTGTGTTATTACTTTTCTTAAAAAAACCCCAAAAACCTTTCAATTGAAAATATGACTCAGAAACAATATTTACTTAAGAAAAGAGAAACAAGCTTGTATTTGCTTTCTCCATAACTCTTTGAGGAAGCTATCATGAAAATATCTATGTTTTAAAAATTGTGCTCTATTTATTTTTGATTAGGCTCATTTCTGGAGGCCAAAAGGATTCAGATTTTGCTTGGAAAACTCATAGGAACTATCTCAGGCACACAGTTTTCAAAAACATAAATGCACGCAAGAACGAATGTTAACTTCAAGCCTAAACACGACAGAGCTCTATGGTAGTGACAAGTGAAGAAATAATAAGGATATTTTGCTTTACACGAGATTTTCCTCCTTTTGCCATCTCAATATGTCACTATTTTTCATTAAACAAAAAAGGGACTGAAAGTCAGCAGCTGATTAGGTCAGATAGCCAGCCCCTGGGTACCAACTCTCTCCATCTATGGAAGGATGGAAGCATGTTCCTACATTTGCGAAGACAATCCCGTCCGGGGCAAGGGCTCACTATCAGAAGGACCGAGTCCCTGGGAAAGCCCTTCAGGTAGGAACGAGGTGCTACTGACAGGAACAGATGAAGAGGCATGTGTAATTTTGAATCCTCCTGTGTATTTATTCAAGTGTCAGTTAAGGACTGATTTTATTATGGTCCAGCAAAGACGTTTTCATTGTTTCTGTCATAAACACCAAAATCTAGCAACATCTTAATGTGTGTGTTTAAAAATACAAGACACGATGTTTCAAATAAAGGGCCTTCAGGAGACAACGTCAAAGGTGCAAACCAGGTGTGATGGCCACAGGTTCGAATACCTGGGTTTGAGGGTGGATGAGCAAGAACCAGAGGTCCAGGTGCTGTCCAGTCCCCTCTGTCACAGCACTTCCCACTTTCCCCACTGGAGCATGTGATGGATGACTTTCATCCAAGCCACACGTGCCCAAGGAGGGCAGAGGCTAGGGTTACGCAAGCTTCTCTACCACCTGTCGACCTCAACGCCCTTCCCTCCCACTCAAAGGAGAACAAGGAGATGCAAGTGAGTGGGGGTGACATTTTTAAGGGAGAAGACCTGAATCTGCTATAATTTATTAAAAGATATCGTTTGCAAGCTTCGGTTCTTCAAGTATCAGGAACAAATCCTGGCAATACAGAGCCGATCGTGACTCCCCTATGGTCTCAAGGCTCAGGAGGAACCACCACTGTCTCGCATCCAATGAGCTCCTTTCAGGAGAAGGAAGGGGAGGCGCAGCTGAGGAACAGCAGGGGAAAAACGACTAAGATTATGACACAGCAGCAACTAGGAGAGAGTTCGTGTTGAGAGGGGGTGAGGTTAGCAGGCATCAAAATAAGGTTTGCGGTAAAAAGTGTGAAAGCTGTAAAGATTTTATGAGCAAAGGTGAGTACGTCCAGCTTAGGCATAAGCACTGAATTTCTTATTTATGGAAAAGCTTCCAAAAGGCAGAATCTCGTTCCTCTTAATTTCTGTAAAATACTCTGTGTGCTATTAGCAGCCCAAATAAAGACAATTTCTTAACTTCCAAGGTAGCCTTTATGGGTTTCCTTTTTTGGTAATACTTGTGACCAAATGTGGAGTTCAAATGTGGGGAAGCAACGTGAAGTGAAGCTCCCCGTGAGTCTCAGAGAGGTGCAGGCACCTCCTGGCAGAAGACCAGTAGCGAGCAAAATCCCCCTACTCTCACGCACGCTGCACACAGATCATCTGGCCGTTGGGCTGGTGTTGGTGCTGTCTTCTCCGGTTCCTCTACAAATATGGTGAAGCTAAAAAAAGGTCAGGGCAAACTGATCTCTGTGCGGGCACTCGAGCCGCTGTGCGATGTGGACAGAGAGGCTTTCAGTGGGCCTTTGGAATTCCTCCAGTGTCAGGTTCCACTTTCCAGGCCGTCATCCTCGGTC